AAATGGAAGCTTTTTTTTTTTGCAGCCCACATAAACTTAAATCTTGTTTATTTGGCCCATATTAGCCTTTGAGTTTGACATGCTTGAAGTAGAGTAAGACCTTAACTGAATCTTAAACAATAGCCAAGACTTGGTAAGCTGAAAAGAAAGGGGAGGGTACTCAAGGCAGAGGCAAAAATATTCCCTAGCACAGGAAAAAGTCTACAGAATGCCTTTGTGAGACTGGAAGGACATAGGCCTGAACGGGGCATGCAGTTCGGTGAGTACTGGTTTGAAACAGGAATACCTAACGGGATTGCTTTATTCTCCAGTGTGCAGGCTTTACAATAAGTCTTATTTGCTTTTGTTGTTGGAGTTGCTATGAGTTTGTTGTAAGTTTTGGTCTCTTGAAACTGCTCTGACAGGTTCAACATCATTTCCCACTTTGCACAGTAAAATATGCAGCGTGGGTTACATAGAAGTGAACAGAGGATAACAACATGGAACCGTTAAACATCAGGCAGAAGAAATAAACTTGAGAAATGGGAACATTGCACACAATTATTTACAGATATTTGGTGGTTTTAAACAGTTTTAAGAAATGTTTTCTACATCTATTTTTAGGTTCTTTTTTTGATAAATGCTGAAAGAAAATGCGTTTGTACTCAGGTAAAAGTACAAATAAATACTAATAGAACTTATTTTGAAATAGTCAAAGTATTCTAGTGGCAATTGCAATAGGTCTTCATTTATTCCTCTAAAATTTCTTTGTATATTTATCCAATGTGAGAAAAATGTGATTGTAGTTGCTAGTTCTATTCTAGAGAGGACACTACAGGCGGTTGCAAGGGAGCATCATGAGGCCAGGCGCCCAGCCAGGGAAATTCTAACCCCAAACCGAACCCCCAACCCGGGGCCCTTTATTTCCATTCTAAAATGTACCGCTCACTCCTGTAACGGAAGTCAGCCCACCGCAGCCCCAGGGCGCCTCTCCATCCTGAGTCGCCCTAAATTGCACCCATTCTCCCCCCCAGGCCACTCAAGGGCCTCCGTGTCTCTCAGCCTCTTTGCCTTCAGACTCAGCCT